CCCATCCTCTCCTGGGGGAGGTTGTCTTTGTGCCTCCTGTTGGTCCTGAAACAATCCAGTTCTGCACCAGGCACCCTGCTCCGAATGCCTGCATTTACAGCTTCGCCTCCCAGCAAGAAATCCTGCAGCAGTACTGAGCTGGCTTCTACTTTTTTAGGCTGATAGATATTTTTTAACCCTTCTAATCTAATAGACAGTTAAGGACAGACAACACTTAATTTTCTCCCTTTTCCCCTCTTGGGGAACAAACCATGCGGTTGTGCAAAATGTCCGCTCTTATTTATTTTGGAAGTGGCTGGTATAGTTTCTCCCTAGCAAGCACCAGGAGTTTTTTGCCATCCATGGATGGCAGGTGTGAGTGGCTGCTAGTGCCATGTGTGTTGGTTGAAGCAGCATCAGGTACAGAAAATGTGGCTTTGCTTAGTGATTAAATCAGTGACCATTGCTTGAAGGTGCCTTAACAGAGTGCCATATCCAAACTTTAAATCGTCTTGTGTGGTATCGTAGCAGAGGCAGCCCTCTACTGTGCATATTAACATCTGAAAATACAGCAAAGAAAAAGTGATCCTGAGGGATTTCTTTCTTTTTTATTATTTTATTATTTTCTTTCTAGCCTGGCATTCAAAGTGATCTGAGGAGATAGTTATAGCCCACAGCTTTTAGTATTTTGTATTCACTTACTCCCTCTCTGCTGTACTGTGCCTCCCAGGGTGGCTGTTAGGCTACAAAAATTCCGGAGAGATGTGTGGCACTAAGCCAGGAGTGAATGCCATGAACCAATTTAAAACTGGGGAAGAGGGTGGCAAAAGTGCTCCATAATCCCCTAATATCCCCAAAATGCATAGATTTCAGGGCAGTGTTTCTGTTACCTGGGTTTATCCCTTTCCAGTCTTGCCTGGTATGATGGGAAATCTCTGTTGAGTTTGGATCTGTGCCTCCAGCATTTTAGGCAAGTCCTGAATCACCCAGCTCACAGAGCTACTTCACTAGCTGAGGTTAATGTGGCAATTGTTCCTGCGGCCGGGTGGGGTTGTGCACATTGCAGTCTGATGGAACTGATGGCTGAGTCTTGCCCCCTGCCCGTATGATCGAATGCTAATGGCTTCTTGGTTGTTGCTGGGTGAGGAAATTGGCTTTGTTTTGTTTGCCCTAATAAAGGATGCATGAACTTTTGTGTTTAACCTCCTTATGCAACTGCAGCACAGTATTGCACCACAGGGATTAGATTTAGGACAATGAAAAGCGTTCAGTGAGTACTAATGGAGCTTCCTGATCGTTGATCTCCACTAAATAGAGAGATATTACTTTCCCCTTTATTTTGTGCCTTTAAGACAAAAAACAAACAAAAAACCACTAACAGTGTATAATTTTAACTATTACAAAAGCAGTAAGATGTTCCGAATGACTTTAGTGCATTTCTGGTTGATGATTCCACTTCTTTAGTGTCTGAAGTCTCTTCCTTCTGCCTTATGCACTCAAGGCATGCAATAATTCCCCAGAAGTGTACTGCTTGTCACATCTCATTGCAGTTATAAAATTGCCCTATTTTTGAAGAGAAAAGGAAGGATGGAGATATATATATCTTTATATATATTATGGATATACAGGTATATATATTATTTATACAATCTCATGGCACTAAAAGTAGTTGCAAAAATGTAACTAGAATTAAAATCTTTTATCATGTAAAACTCTATCCTCTGTTAAGTAGCTTTGATTTAATATTTTAATATCTCTGTATTTATGTAAATCTGTGTAAATTATGTGGTCTATAAGTAAAATTTCATACTGACTTTAATTTCTCAGAACTGTGAGCTTCTTGTGGTGTCATTTAAGGGTTTTTTTCTTATTATTTCTAAAGTTAAATTATACAAGATATAAGAAGTTATCAGTTCCTATTATCACACAGAACTGTTCATGTGTACTTCCAGTACACAATCCTATCTTGAAGTACTGCAAGCTTACGAGGTTTAATTGAATGGTCTCAGGAGATCTAGCTGATACAAGCAGGACACGTAGGTTTTCATTTTCATGAAACAATAAGCAATCTAGGGAATAGATGTGGATTTTTAAAACAGAGTTTATGCTTGGAGGTTCTGTCAAATCAATTGCTTCAAAACCCTACAGCTACAGCTAAACTTCTGCACTTAGCATTCAGTATTAATAAGGCCAATGCTTCTTTCCCCTCCCCCCTCCCCCACTTAAACTAGAAAAGTGTAGGAAATTGTTCATATTTCTAAAGCATACATTTTCAGCTAACTGTGAAACTGCCCAAAGGGTTTTGACTATACATATTTTATGCAAGTATAATATCTATGTCTCTGTATCCATATATTTAAATATTTTTGTGTAACCTTTTCTACAATATTTGATAGAGGTGCTGGGTAAATGCTTGTACCATTCTCCTATGTAAGGAAGGATTTATACCCTCTCGATGCAGACATTCTTTTTCCTGTGAATTTGCACTGGCTTCAGCAAGTTACAATGGAAACTGGGCAGCTGAGTGCTGACTGCCTGCAGCACAGACAGTCTTTCCTCTGTTCAAGGGCACATCCTCCAGCTGGATTTTCTTGGTTTGGAATTGGAGACAGTTGCCCACAAGCATCCTGCATGTGCAAGAACAAGAAGTAAGAACAAGAAGTGCTATGGTTCTCGACAGTTCCTGTCCAGTCCAGCCGTCATCCTGCAGAAGCATGATGGCAGTGAGTTGGTTTGTAGATCATAGTGAGAACTGAGAGCCTGCTGGGCGATGCCATGGCAGAGCTGGGGCTGGATCAGGCACTCGTCCTGCACTCTCATCCTCAGAGCCTGCTGCTGCCCTGGGTCTTCATCCAGCTCCCACTGGCATCAACAGGAGAGGCTTCCAGTGACTGCCAAGGGACTTGGATTCTGTCTGAGGTCCATATGGAGGGTGGTAGCTCTCCACATGACCACCATGGGCCCTGCTCTGCATCTGCCCCATCAAGCTCTGTGGGGATGAAAACCACTGCATCCCATAAGGTCTGGGGTTCTTCAGCCTGGTGGCACCAGGGAACCTGCGCTGCTACAGTCAAATCTGCTTCTACAGACTGAGGTGTTTAGGTTTCTACATGGATCCTGTGTGGATCATGGACAGGGAATGTAATTTAATTAAAATGTGTCATGCCAGCATTTTTTTCTGGAGGGGTTTGTCTACTGCAAGTGTAGTCTCAGATGAAATTTGCAGGCTCTCCATCCAGACATGTTACAGCTTTTGATACATGTCTCTTAGACATACGTCTACATATAGAGAGAGATACATATCTCAGAAAAAAACCCCAAACACTGGACAAAAAGCAAAGAACAGAGACTCCACATTATAGACAAAACTGTCCTATGACTAAAAACTGGGGGAGGGGTGAGTTTATTTTATTTTTAATTAATGTTAAAGGCTACTATCTTTAATGTAAATAGCAAGTTACTCTGTGATTAATGTTTTCCATAGCATTTCTAAGTAGTTGCTATCTTGTTTCTGGAAAGCTATGTCCAGTGTTATGAAGCGACTGTGCTTTTCTTCTTCTGTTGTTATGAATATGAGTGTAACTTTTATGTAGGGAAGAAAAAGAACATGATTTGACTCTTTAGACGGGACTGAATTATTTTAAATACAGCTATAGGACTTCTGTTGGTTTTTTTCTTTCTAATGGTTATTTTCTCTGCACGTTTGTATTTTTCTATGGGTACTTGAAACCCTACATTTTAATAAGTATGCAAGGTATGAAGGGAAACACTAACAATGAAGTAGGAAACATTTATTTTCCTGTTTTGTGTAAATTGCAAAATTTATAATGACTTAGATACCATTTCAATACATTTCTCATCAATGTAGAAGTTGGCATGACTCATATAAAAACCTTTAATAATGCTTTTATTTACGTTAAAAATTAGAACTACTTTTATCCAGGACTGACTTTCTCATCTCTTTCTGGTATCTAACTTTTTTTTTCCCCGGAAGCCAAGTTTTCCATCTGATTGCTAAATAAATTTCTAGTAGAACAGAGCCTCCTTCTGTTTTTAGTCTTCTACATGTAAGTCTCTGGTCTGGATCCAGCCAAACTCAGTAGTGTAGGAAATGTGTTATGAACTTGCAAGAAGTGGGTGGTGTATGAGCCTTGAGGAGAGAGGTGACTGGCTGACAGGCAAACAGGTGAAATGCCTGGCAATGGTAATAGT